CGAGCCGGGCTTTTTTTTTTTTTTTTGCCAGGCATATTTTTAAAATATCTGAAACGAGGGCCTCTCTTTAAATGTTGTACTCACCCTTTACTGACCCCTTACCTACATCCCCCACTCCTTTCGGCGTCTGCGGAACCCGTTTGCTCCTAGTCCCATCACCTAACCACCAAGTCCTGCCCGACTCCCGGCCACTGTCTGCACCCGATTCTGCTCCCGATCATCCTAACGACCCGAGGCTCCTGGCCACTGTCTGCTCCCGATCATCCTAACGACCCGAGGCTCCTGGCCACTGTCTGCTCCCGACCATCCTAATGACCCGAGGCTCCCGGCCACTGTCTGCTCCCAACCATCCTAATGACCCGAGGCTGCCACCACACTGCTCACCCCTTACCTACATCCCCCACTCCTTTCGGCGTCTGCGGAACCCGTTTGCTCCTAGTCCCATCACCTAACCACCAAGTCCTGCCCGACTCCCGGCCACTGTCTGCACCCGATCATCCTAATGACCCGAGGCTCCCGGCCACTGTCTGCTCCCGATCATCCTAATGACCTGAGGCTCCCGGCCATTGTCTGCTTCTGACCATCCTAATGACCTGAGGCTCCCGGCCACTGTCTGCTCCCGACCATCCTAATGACCTGAGGCTCCCGGCCACTGTCTGCTCCCGACCATCCTAATGACCCGAGGCAGCCACCACGCTGCTCGCCCCCACGCCTCCCCTCCAGCTCACCCAGCGACTCCAACAACGAGTGACTCCACATCCCTCCTCAGCTGACTCCCACCCGAGTCCCTCCAAAATGAGGCAGGAGGATGCAGGCCTCAGACCCGCATCCGACCTGGGCGGGTTTTCTGTTTCCGAGGCCACTGCAGAGGCCTGAGAACTGCCACCCAGAGGGGAAGGGGGCCTGTCCTTCATTACCCCGTGTGTGCGTGCATGTGCGTGTGCGTGTGCGTGTGCGTGTCTCTGTGTGTGTGGGTGTGCGTGTGCGTGTCTGTGTGTGCATGTTTGTGTGTGTGCGTGTGTGTGTGTGTATGTGTGTGTGCATGTCTGTGTGCGTGCGTGTCTGTGTGTGCCCGCATGTGCAAAGTCAAGAGGGTTAAAAAAGGAACCCACCGGGGCTCTCAGAAGGGAATGCGCGGCAGCAACGGGTGTTTACCACGTTCCACTGGGCGCTGAGGAGGAAGTGGTTACTCTAACCCCGAGGGGGAAATGCTCGCTGAAACAGGAAAATGGAACCCTTACTACTTTCCACTGGCAGCGTGCAAGCAGCAGCCACACGGGGAACGCCTGCCAGAGCCTCTGCCTGAGACCCGGCCCCTCACCCCACGCCTACAGCACAGACCAGGGCAGACACGGGTCCCTTTGCCCAGCCACATCTCACGCCCCAGCCCTTACCTAAGCCAGTGGTTCCCAGCGTCGGGCACGCGCCCACAGGGGGGCGATGTGATGTTTAAGGGGGGCAATTCGCGAATGAGTTATTAACAGTGAACGTTCTGCATTTCTCATGGTTCTAGGGGCCTCATCTACAGTATATAAATATATATTGTGACATATTTATGCATTGCAGTTCTCTATTATAGGTTTTGAAACTATTTTTTCATATCACTTCATATTATTTTTTAGCAATTTCTTAGTGACTTCTTTCTCAGCACTTCAACTGTCCTTTCGTTCTTCCTTTTAGGGTTCCTCCACGTGAATAGGAGTTCACTTTTTGAATCATAAGACTTACATGTGGGGGGGGGGAGGCATCAGGGTTTTAGAGATGCTTAGGTGGAGCGTGGCTCTAAGCAAAGGGAATGAATGGCCAGGAGCCCCGGGAGCGCAGGGGAGGGGGGGAGGGCACGGGGAGAGGAGAGGGGGCTGGAAGGCGGACTGGAAAGAACACGGCACCGAGCCCAGCCCCGCCATTTCCTAGCTGTGGAACTCCTGGCAAGTTACTCAACCTCCCGGCCTATGGGTTCCCACTTCCTCTCTGAGACGGGAGATCTGAGCACCCTGCTCACGTCTTCGGCTGCTGAGCCCGTGTGGAGCAAGGCAGAGAGACAGGTAGGTTTTCTGGACACTCTCACGGGCTCTACAGATGCCGGTTGTTGCTATCAGCAGGACCAACGTCTTTCTTGGACTTTGGCTTCTCACACGCACCCCCTCGGGCACATTTCCATTGGAGAACTTCCCCAACCCAGCCTTCTGAGCCTTATTAGAATCTACCCGCGTTCCTGCAGAATTTTGGTAGAATATTCAATACAGTCTGGGCAGAGGAGTCTAAACAAGACTGAATAGAAGAAGTGAGAAGAAATAAATGAAACTGGCTGAGCCCGGGCCCCCTGCTCCCACATTCTCTACAATCCAGAGACGAGACGTCACGTCCACGGCTTAATTTGCCTGCTGGAGGGTCAGGTTGGCTCCAGTTCTGCGTCATAGTTTCCATTTATTAAAATGAACATCTGGCTGCTGCCGGGTGCCGTTGGTGCAGGGCCTCTTGACTCACGATTACCTGCAAGGTAGTTCTGGTGTGTAAAGCAACGCAGAGCATAACCACGGGCACCCCTAGCCAATCCACGCCACGACGCCGGAGCAGAAGCCGGCGAGGGCGGGCACCGTGAAAACCGCCATCTTGGCTCCAATCTGACATGCAAATTCTACAGAAGAAAAGAAAGCAGTTCAGAAAAGCAAGGACCGGCAGGTCCCCAGGCAACATAAAGAACCCGTGAGTTCATTTAAGTTCAAAGGGACCTGGCTCAGCTCAGTGGGAAGCAGGGCAGTTAAGGTGAGACTGAGCTCTCCACCCCCGTGCGACCTTGAACAGACCACTCGACACTCCAAACCCGTGGCTTCCCCGTGTGTGAAACACGGATGATAACACGACACGCCCTGCCCGGCTCCCAAGGCTCCTGCGACGACCGAGTGAGAAAGCATATGGGAAAGCGCTCTGTGAACCACACAACAGGCCCAAGCCAAGCGATTCTCTGGCAAAGGTGCCTTGAAAATAACCCCAAACCTGGAAGTGTTTTATTTTAATCCCTTAGTCGATGTGCATCCCATCTGGACTTAGAAGGAACGTGAGGTGGCTGCCCAGAGAGGTTCTCCAGTAATTTCTAAGTAAGTTTATGCACGCAGGTTCCAAAACCCCGCTGAGTGGGGCGGCAGGCTTTTGGATTTTGTTTTAAAGGGGAAACCTCAAGAGGTGTCACTTTTCTTTTATTTTGAAAAGGACTCAGGGAAGCGCACTGTGTTGCCTTTCAAGTAGCGCTAAATGGAGGTGCCTCACCCTCACCCTCTCTTCCTCTCTGTCCCTGGTCACCTTGGCAGGTCCCTGGCCATGCCAACCAGCCCTCCCTCCGGCCGCCGCGGGCTGGAGGCCTAGAGCTATTGGAAACGATGTTTTCCTAAGACCGTGCGGGCCAGAGGCACCCCATCCTCCTTCCAGGAGGGGTCGCCCTCAGGGAGGGACAGGAGTTCCCAGGCCACACAAAGGCTCATTCTGCTCACAAAGGGTTTTTACCAAGTCGCCCCCAGAGGCTGCCAGGATGGCCGCGCAGAGCACAGATCCTGATTCACTGCTTGGCAGATCTACCCTCGCTATTATTAGCGCCCAGGCGAGGTGCCACCAGGCTGGGGAGAGACCTTTGTGTCAAGGCAGAGAAAGCAGGAAGAGGTGTGTGTGTGTGTGGGGGGGGGGCGGGGAGACGAGCAGAAGGAGCTGTTTGAGGTTTCCTTCAGAGGGGAGGGGAGGGGTGGCTTTAAGGTCGTCTCCTTCCTCCTAATTCTCTAACCTCATCTGAACCTCGGACAAGCCCAGCCCCAGGATCAGAAGGCCTGGGACTCAGACCCCTTCTGGCTGTGGCTCCAGGTAGGAGAGGCGGGCTCCCACGGAACCTTCTAGGCCTGCTGGGAGTTCACACCTACCGACTCCACTGGGCTCCGGGCTGTGCCAGAGACTACAGTGGTTCTCAACCTTCCTAAGGCCGCGACCCTTTAATACAGTTCCTCATGTGGTGGGGACCCCCAACCATAAAATTATTTTCGTTGCTACTTCATAACTGTAATTTTGCTACCGTTATGAATCGTCATGTAAATATCTGATACGCAGGATGTATTTTCAGGGGTCGCGACCCACAGGTTGAGAACCGCTGCAGATGTTGGAGCCAGAGAAAGTGATGGGGGGAGTTGGAGAACCCCTCCTTCCATGGCAACAGGCAACTCATGCAGCCCTAACATACACGTGTTCCCTCCACTAACAGCTACGATGTAAAGAGCACCTCTCCGTGCACCCTCCTCCCTCCTCAGAGTGGAGGGGCGAACACTGACCACGAGGCCAGGGTGAGCGCAGGTGACCAGCTTCACCTGTAGACATCGTGTCACGCATTAATTAGTCCATCTTACAGGCAGTTCATGGGTTGTTTTATTTCCCCTGCTGTATCAAGCTTGTACCGGCATTACGTGAATACTCGGAAAGACATCAAAGGAAGGCCAGTGGCTAGTGCCAGACCCCAGACTCACTCAAGAGGGAGGAACCTGAGACGCCCGTGCAGACGGCCTCCATGCGCTGGCTCACAGGGAAAGGGCTGAGCCCTGTCGGAAACCAACCAGTCGAGTCTGGTGTTAGCAGCGTGGCCTCTGGAGCCAGCTCAGTGGAATTCTGGGTCGGCCGCTCACCCGCTTGTGTGACTGGGCCCGCGTGTCCGTGCCCCGTCCTCTCCCTCGCGATAAGACGAGCTGGGGCCACTAGGAGGCGGCTTTTTATAACCATTACACGTCCCAGTCAGAGGGCCAGCCTGGGCTAAGGCTCTGGTCAGGTTCTTCCTTGGTCTTGACAACCATCCTCACAATCAACTTATCCTAAGCTGCTCAAAGGGAGGACTTTTCCCGAGTGATGAGTGACGCTTCCGGGGAAGTGACACAGGTGTCAACGAGTAAGCACAGGTAAACACAGGTGTTTACCAAGCAGGTAAAACAGGGCAGGCAGAGTGGAGGGCCAGGGGCAGGCCCAGCAGAAATGCTGCCGATAGAGGAGAGAGAATGCTGGCTGGCCCGGAAGGCACACAGCTGGCAGGGGACTAGGGGCAGGGGGACATGGGGCCAACTTCTCCAGGACCGGTCACACGGCCCAGAGAGCCGGTGCCGCTCCCGGCAGAGCCAGGCCTCGACGCGTCTCGTGCTGGTGTTTTCTCCCAGTGTGGACAGCTTCTACCCGGAGTTTTAGAACATGTCACTTTGTGTTCATTTGTAAAAAGAAATCAGAATGTTCCAGAATTCTAAAGGAAACTGTCCCTTTCTAATGCTTCCCTCTTCCCTTCCCGGCCTTGACTTTAAATTTCCCACCTGCAAATGAGGGTCATAGTCAGTGCTCCTGGGGCCGGGAACCGAGTCCAGGCCTTGGGCTAATTAGCATCCCCTAGCAAGGCCTGTCACTCTGGTCTCAGTCCACAAAACGGAAGGATTAACCACATGAGCTCAAAATAACACCCGACTCTGAAATTCCGTGGTCTTGGGAGAATGTCAAAGAAAGCCGAATTGTGGGGAGTGACCCGCGTTAATATTCCACTTCCCTTTTGAAGTGGTTTTAAGGGAGCAGGCAGATAAGAGAATGGAAATTTTCTTCTTTATCAGAGTAGCCCAAAGGAGTGCACTGAAATAGCCTTTTGACAGTATGAAAGCCATTTTTTTAAATGCTTAGGGGGAAAAAATCCAACCGGGTGAGCACAGGTGATTTTCATTTCTTTATAGTTTTCTAGATTTATCCAGTTATCTACAATGGATGTGTGACGTGTTTTGAATAAACTTAGAAGTCATTGTTTTAAACTGCATTTGCTGGGGAGAGGGTTCAGGAAGGGTCTGACTCCTTACCCCTCTTTGCACCCATGTTAACTGCTCTCCAGCGGGGAGAACTGAAGCCACAGCCGGAGGGGGGGAAAGGGAAATGCGAAAAGCCCCAAGAAACGGTTGTTTTCCTGCTGCTACCA